ATTTTTAATAATTTAATCATACCCTTTATTTAAAAAATAAAATTAAAAGAAAGAAAGATAAATAATAAATTAATTTACAACTCAATCAATTATAATTTAGTTAAGCTCATAACTATATCAAAGTTATAATATAAATGCAATATCACAACTAAAAGAAATATGATAGTTATCAAAATTTACAAGTTTACGCTCTATTCTCTCTTTTCTTTTTAATCTTGATGATAGTTTATATTCTCTCTTTTGCGACATAATTTATATCTAACTTTATAAAATAATTTTTACGTCTTTTTTTAACTATATGTAGAATTCTAGTTATATATTCGTAATTTATACATTCATCAATTATATTGTCGAGTCAACTATATTATAACATAAAATATTCGTTCATAATTTTTTTTAAAAAGTGTAATATTTTTTTTTTGATTATTTTCTTATGTCGAATTGAGAAAAAATATTCTTTTCTTTTTAATATTATTGAACTTATTGTGATTGTATTGATGTGTAAAAAAAGTATTACATATGAGAAAGATGACAAATAATAAAAACAATAATTTATAAATTGTAATGGCATTATGTTATTTTGATGGTACACTTATTAATTCACAAAAATTCTATTATAATTTAATTTGATCTCTATTGGAACAACATTATTTTTTAGTTTTATTACATTTTTTCACATATATATATATATATATATATAATATATAACTTTTAGATTTGTTAAAAAAATACATAAAATTAAGTATATAACTTTTTTTTGGGTCTTATGTCTTATTATATCCATTATAGTTGTACATCTATATATTATATTATATATATAATTATAATTATGTCATTAATATTATACTCAAATATTAAAAAAAATATGTACATTTTTTCTAATAAAAAGTTGTTCAACTTATTCGGTCATTGGCTGTATATTCGGCTGAAAAGTTGTTCCCAAGTCTCGGTTTGTTGTTAATATAAGTTCTTCCTATCGTTCTGTTTCAAAAAAAGATAGGTGAGTAATGGTACTATATCAATATAATTTCTTGATGAAAATTTATTTATTTTTAGCGTATATAGACATATTATAATTCTCTAGATATTTTTAATTAATTTTGAAGATAATGACGAATAAAAGTATATATAACTATTGTCTATCACCTAAAACTTACATCTAGAATTAATAAGAACAAAAAATTAACAAGTGTTTAACAACCCAACTCGTTTAAATCAATAAGTACAAGTTTTAAAAGTTTGATCTTTATTTTTATTAACCATAATATTTTATTTATTACTTTTTTCATATTTATTAGTAAGTGTTATAACTTAAGTGTATTTTAATATTATTTATCAAATTTAATATGTTTTTCCTTTATATTGTTATTTTATATGTTTTAATATATATATATATATATTATATATATATATATATGTTCCTTTATATTGTTTTTTTCCCTTAATATATTTGTTAGAAGAATACATAAAATTAAATATAGAACCTTTTGGGACATCTGTCTTATTATAATCAAAGTATTGTACGTCTTTGTAATTTATTATATATAATTAAATTTTTCTTCATTAATATTATACTCAAATATAAAAATAAATTTATTATGTACTTTTTTTTTGATAAAAAATTACTTTATTAAAATAATACAGATAAATAGATTATAAGTAATGGTAATATATCGATATAATTTATTTCTAAAATTAATAAATTTTAAATGTATATGTGCATATCATGATTTTCTAATTGTTTTTTAATTAATTTATAAAATAATCATGTTATCTAAATTAAATCATGTTGCTCAAGCGGTACACTATTTGAAATAAACATAAATAATATGGGTTTTAGTATTATACAATTTTATAAAAGTAGATTAGAAGTTTAGGCTGCAAAACAATCATTCAACAATTAATTTCTCATACTGTTACATTATTTTTATATGTTATTTTGAAAAAAAAAAATGTTTTTATAAGTTATGGGTGTTGTGAGGAAAAACATTATCGATTTTAATTTTTGTAGTTATAGTTATTAATAATAGATGAGTAATGGTGATATATGATATAATTTAATGGTAAAAATTAATTGATTTTCAGCGTATAAGTATATCATGATTCTCTAGACATCTTAATTAATTCGTAGATAATTGTATAATTAAATTAAATCATGCTGCTCAAGCAATATCCATTCGACATGAAAAAAATGGATTGAATTTTAGTATTATATAATTTCATAAAATTACTTTAATCTTATTTTAAGTAAAAAAATTGAGTAGTTTTTAGGTTGCAAAATAATAATTCAACAATTTATCTCTCATACTATTACACAATTTATTTTTTATTCTAAGTTATTATGGAAAAAATAATTAACTTTTTATTTGACATATTTTTAATGTCAAATTAGTAATATACTAATACTTATTTAATATTAATTAATTAAATACAATTACACAAACAAAACATTCTAGATTAAAGTACAATTTCTATTCTAATTCTAAATATAAGAGTTTACTTTTCTTAAATAATGAAGTAGCTAAATAAAATTGTTCAACTTCGCTAGTTTGTAAGATAATGTATAAAATTATATTAAAAACAAGGATTTTTTTTTTAAAATAATAATTCTATATCTTTTCAAAACTTTGTTGTTTAGGATGATGTTGAGTTGATTTTTGGGAGATATGTGGAAGAAAACCATTTGCTGATAAATAATGGTACGAGAATATTTTGTTTGATTTTTAGGAGATGTGAAATGTGTTGTTCCTGTATTTGTATTTAATAAATTAAGTATTAGTTATTAATTAAAAAAGATATGAGGTATTAGTGTATTACTAATTTGCCATTAAAAACATGTTAAAATAAGAGTTTTTTAGATAATTTATTTTTTTAATTAAAAATATAAATAAAATATGTATTAGTATATTACTAATTTACTATTAAAAATATGTCAAAGTAAGGTTATTTTAGGTAGTTCATATTCTTACAAAAACACTCGTCTTTTTAGAGTAAAAAATATAGATATAGATATAGATAGATAGATATCTTCCACTGTGCCAAACAACTATCAATGTCAATCAACGAAAATGGTGGTTTGTTGAACACACACACACATATCATTATCAAGACTACCAGATATGGAAATATATATGGGTTGACATCTTTTTCACCCAGTATATACAATTTTTTTTTTATACACCGCCTTATTAAAAAAAAAAATTTCACCCCAAAAAATACACATGCTATGTAATGGTTAGCATAACTATTGCATAACTATCACATTTTCCACCCAAGAAAGTGTGAAGAAAAGTTATGCGAATGATTTACTACTTTAACTTAATTCGGACAATGGTTCACATAACTATCACAAAGTAAAAGGTAAATTATTTTTTCTCATTCGAACTATTACGATTTTCGCGCTTTACCATATCAACTATTTTTTTTTTGACAAACAGCCATACAAACTTTAAGTTTTTTTTTTTTTATTTTCNCACTGTCCCAGGCTCTCTCTCTCTCTCTCTCTCTCAAGGGACACGATGATGGCGAGCATGCTGAGCTGCACGAAAATTGAGGAGGCTCCAGAGGGATGCCGGCTATTCTGCGGCGGTGCTGCTGCTCGTCTATTCGGTGCGGTATGAATTTAAGAATTTGACAGGAAAAAAAAAGAAGAAGATGGAAGTTTATTTGATGGCAAATGAGGGCCCGAGTGAACATAGAAGGTTATTTAACGGCCAAGATGGAAGTTTAAGAATTTGACAGGAAAAAAAAAGGAAGATGGCCCTCCCCCTTTAAAATCAGTTCATTTTATTTTATTTATTTATTTATTTTTTCTAAAGAAATTAAATATACAAAATTCCTCTAAAACCCTTAATAAACAGCTGTTTTATTAAAAAAATCGCTTTAATTCTGGTGTTAGATGGCAAAGTGACAAACTCGCATAGTTTAAATGGTGGTTTGTGAAAAAAAAAAGTTTATATGGTAATGCGTCAAAATCGCAATAGTTCAGATGGGTAAATATTTTTTTACCCCAAATTAAACTATAGTAAAACCTCGTTAAATTAATACTCGATAAATTAATAACCTCGCTAAAACTAATAATTTGTCCGGTCCCAAGTAGGGACCAGTAAAAATTTGAGATCCAATCAATAAAATTATAAGATAATAATTTTTTTGAGATCCTAGTGTGTATATATTGGTCCCGACGAAACTATAAATTAATAATTAAAAATAATCCATATATATATATGATGCACTTGAAGATTCTCAAGACGACATAGTAAAATAAGAATCTACTGTAATTTACCATATGGATAAATATATAGTGCTGACTTCTATCCATGATTCAATGCATAAATGTTAGTCCAATGAACCATGTTTTTGTATTTTCGAAAACCAATTAATTTAAACAATCCATTCCAACTTTCACGTACGTGAGTTTGTGTTCATGGAATTCTACTAGTATATATTTGGATTGTAACTTAATTTTCATCAATAACTATGCATGTATACTTAAAGTTATTCAAAGAATTTGGAACTTTGAAGGTCAACTGTGCATATACGTTAAAATCTCTTGAAAGTAATAAATTATTAATTTATTGATATAATAATATCTCTATAAATTAATAAAATCTTCCAATCCCAATATTGTTAATATATAGAGGTTTTAGTACTGTACAATCTAATAAAATCCTCCAATCCCAATATTATTATTATATAGAGGTTTTACTGTACAATCTATTCATTTGCATAACGCTTCACATTTTTTAGGTTGAAAAATTAACTCTTAAAAACTTGATACACTTTTTTCAATGGGGTATAAATAGGATATATATACGAATGTGTATTAGAAATGGGAGTGATTAAATTCTATATACATGCATAGTTTTTGGATCAAGTCAGTTTTGGTCACTACTTACTCGTCAACGGTCAACTCAATCT